TTCCTTCTGTAGCCATTTGGAGTCTTCCTATGTAATCTAAAAAAAGAAAACAGCTTGATATCTCTATTGAAATATGTATATATTGGATGGATTCTCCTAGAAACTCATATTCGTTCGAAAAGAAGAATGATTGATGAGTTTCAAAAAAAACCTTGGCAGCTAGGGCTGAATTAGTAAAGTTGTTCGGCACGTATTACGAAGGTAATGTTTTCGAATCTCGACTCCCTCAGATATTCAATAACTTTGAACAAGTCACTGACGACTGTTTGTGTCGGATCTTCCGTACCATAGCATGCTGACTGCGCTGCGACATATACTGAATCTTGTGGCTGGTATTTGGTTAGTCAATGCGTACAGGAAGCTTCTGTAATTGAGCGGAAAAATCATGAATCAAACCGGCCGTCTGTGCAGAGCTGTGACTTAGGATAGTTATATAGAAAAATATCGGACTTTCGGAGTTGTCTCTGGATAGCACCCTATATCACGAGGTAGCGGAAAGGTAGAATATTCTTCTTCTTAATAATAAGGACTATCTAATGGAGGATGGTGAGACAGAAGAAATTTCTTGCTGTTTACTTAAACATTGAGCAGAAATCATATATCGCTCAAAAGTGCTAGGCGGTATGTTTTTTTTGTAAGAAGTCAGAGCTGATTGTTTCATTAGGTACATATCGAGTTCATATTTTGCCTTTAAACAAGGCGAGCAGTTTTCTTGAAGCGGCCTATTTAACTAAAGTTTTTTTCAAAAGAACTCCATAAATGCGCCGTATTATGCACATTATGTTCTTTTCTTGTATTGATCGTCAGATGAATCTATGGCTAACATGAAGAATTCTTTTCTAGTGAGAAAAATACCATTGAAATAAATTTATTCTCAATTTTTATTAGGAATAGAATTCTAGACGCACATGAATAATAATGCCGATTTTCTTGGACTCTTAAACTAGTTTTCCAGAAAAAAGAATTCATTTTCGTTAGAATATTTGAAAACTTTCATCAGTATCTTATCGACTCTAGATTATAGATGTATCTAAAGTCTTTTTATCGGATAGAACATGAATAAACACCCTTTAAAATTCTAAGAAGTTTAATAACAAAAAAATTTTCATAAACATACGCGATTGTAACCTGTAAGATAGATGAGAAAGTTTTGTCTAAATTGTCTTATTTCAAACGATGATCTGTAGAACAAATCATTTTGAATTCAATCTCGATTCTATATATATATATTTACTTGTGAAAAAAAAAGTTGCTTAGTGTAACTTATAAGTCTTAGCACTTTGTTGATCAGAATATATTTGTACGTCACTCGTCTGTGCTCTTTTATAGTTAATTTAACTACGCATCTTGTAATTTTTAAAACGTGAGCCTAAAAAAGAAACATGACTATCGATCATTCTAAATGAACCGAAAAAAATAATCCTTTTTGTTTATTATTCACTTCATTGAGGGTTGTAAGCGGCATTAAAAAAAGACAGAAGAAAGAAGAAGCACTACAACTGTTGTACGAAGTCAGGAAGCAAATTCCATGCTTGTTTAGCATTTAAGTTAGATGACTGAAATAGCAATTACTAGGTAATGTTTCACAAAGAGTTCTTGAGTAGTCCTTCTTGCAATACATTCTATAAAATTTCAGGCAGTGCATTACAATCATTATGGTCATGACAACACCCAACAAGAAAATATGAAAAAGAAATATAGGAATTGAAGTTCTGAACTTCCAATGGTGTTGTCGCTAGATTTACCTAAAAGTAAGCTTAGCATGTATAGAGTTAGCGTATAATGTGATGGGTGGTTAACAGCTATTGAGACAGCTTGAAGCAGTAGCAATCTGTTAGCTTTGCCTATTTTCATCAGGTGTAGATATGGAAATTAATGAGTTCTTCCTTTCATTCACATTCAATATTCACAGCTACATGCGCTAATAAAAATTTATTCGTAAAGGCACTAAAATCAACATTAAATATTAGAATGTCTATCTTCAATGATTAATTTGCTTCCTATTTAACTAGTTATGTAAAGCAGCTTAGAACGATATACCAAAGGTTTATAAAAGCAAGAGTATACGAAAATAAATAGAGATTATGATTACTAAGTGTATCGAAGCAAGACTCGGAATCGCTAATGAGTCATTTGTTCCTGTATATTTATTTGCTGCTTTTTTCTCCATATTTTCTTTGAATTTCTTTCAATAATCGTCAAATTTTCATAAATGAAATACTTTTGATTTATTCGCATTCTTTATTATTGTATAGGTCAATCAAAATTTAGTTACTAATCTTTTCACTTATCGAACGCAACTCTCCATTTCAATAATTTTTGGATAACGGAATAACTAAAGATTGATTTGAATGACACATTGTTACTAAATTATCATATGAAACGTTTCGAAGGATCTTTAGATTTAGATATATAATGTAAATTTTGAGGCATAATATCTGATTCGCCAATAAACTGTTGCATTCAATGACAGAGACTAACTTTTTTCTTGTGAAACCAAGCTTCTATTTACCGTTTAAGAGTAGTCAGTTCTGTAATACATTAGTGAAATTTTTTTTATCAGTAAAATGCTGGAAAAAACTCCATTTTAGTTTTAATTGTGTCGCAGAATAATTGAATTGATAATTTTGATTATGACTGATTTTAGCTCAATTATAATTTACTGCAAAATTTGACTTTCATAGAATTCAGTTTTAGTTTTGATGTGCATTACTGGGAATATAATGGTGATTAAAATCCATAAATATAAATTGTAAACTGATGAGAACGAAAAATCTTTACTTTAATCAAATAAAATTTATATTTTTCCACAATATTCATCATTAGATAACTGTAAGGGGGAATTCTTTACAAAATCATCAAACTTTTCAGGTGAAACTTTCTTTATTATATAATATTTATCAAGAACATAACAAGGCTAGAATGAATCATATCGTTGAATTTTTCTTCTCCATTTATCCTCATTTTAATAATCGTTTGGCCATTATTAAAGTACACTGTGAAAGATCGAATATTTGAATTTAGATTTGAAAATTTGTACTCAAAAGAGTCTCTATCATGCTACAATATGCTGAAAGTTTTAGTCAAACTACGTTTCTATCTCAAGTTAAAAGATTATCTTCAAATCACTTTTTGAATCGAGAGCTAAGACATCGTAACTTTCTTCAGAGCCCTACATATTGATATGATAACATACGTATATGTGTGACTGAAATTTTCAGTACATTGTATCAAAAGAGAGACCCGTCTGATTGTAAAGTTTCGGATAGAATTTCAAACACTTAATTTTTTTGCACTATATCGTAAAATAGGCCAAATAATTGCTAAAATTAAAGAAAATTTCATCATGGAGGCTTCTTTTCATTTGGAACGGTTCTCTCGTCAGTCGAATTTGATAAAAGGTAATCTATAAGTTGACTAAAGTCACATTAAAATAGATACTTATAGATGGGACCAATACGAGCAAGTCTCCTTCTACTTAATCTAGTTGAATCAGGTCTTTATCAGCTTCTATCGTCTGAAAAAGGCAGTGTTTGCAATAAAATAATGTACCGTTTTGTCAATAAATAATAAGATATGGTAACACTAGAGAGTCATACAATATTCATCCTACAAGGGATGTTGTTTCTTATGTAATGTGATATTTTTATCTTAACCAAATATTTGTTCCTTATAAGTAAGGATAAATGCATAGATGAAGTATTTTCTTCATTCACAATTAAACGCACACTCATACAATAAATAGACTGAGTATCCTATTTTTCATACGTGAACACATACAAGATTTCATCTAGATGTCAAATCTTATCCATTGTAAAGTTAGTACAATATGAAGGTATCCTTTTTTTTTGTCAAATTAGATGAGTCATTTTGAAGGAGACTTCACAGAGGGTCCTGTAGAAAGTAATGAAGTCGAAACCAAAACCTGTAGTACGAATACAAAATAGGCCAAAAGTTTTGAAACAATATGTTTATTTATTTTTGACTATTTTGAAAGTATGTTCACTAAGTCAAGTGGTATGAATTACGATTGAAATTCTTTGTGGTCTTTCCAAATAAGGATTTAAAAATTTTCCCTCAAGTTTTTTGGCACTACAGAGATGATCTTCGAAGGGCCGGAAGCAGAGTTCGAATGGAACATTTTTTCTTACATTCGATACTTTCACTATTGCGACTCGGAAGTAAATTTTGAAACCTTTATTAATATAGCAGCTTGTGGATCCGAAGTCACTACAAAATACACTATTGAAGGCATTTATGTCTTTCTACAGTCACTTTAATCTTTGTTTCTATTCAGCTCTCATTTTGGAAGGTGGGTGTGGATGTGAATCTTCTTTTCACCCAGCCACACCTACACTCCTCTAGTTTATCTTCATGCACGTGCATACAACCAATATACAGTTCATGCTGTGTGCACATTCATCTTTTCCAGCACAAAGTTGTACATGTATCACTCTATGGCGTTTCTTCTCATTTTTGCTAACGACTGGCAATAGTATATATGTCTTCAATCAGCTGATTTTTGGTCTTTACAGCAACTTGTGCAACACAGAACATAAATGACGTTAATTGCATACAAATACAAAACGAACGACAAGCAGTTCTACACAGAAAATATAACAGGTATATTCGCCGTTCTTCTCTTATCGACATCGACGCAAAACTAAAGAAAAAGAAACGCGAAGCATGTCATTCTTTTTTTTAATGTTTTGATTAAAGATGCAAGGCACATTGTGTTTGTTGCTTTACATCTATTCGAGTTATTGTAGATTATATTAAAGGTGTGAAAAAAAAAACATATGCAGTTTGAATCATTGGCTAACGAGTTATTACTTGAACTATTCAAATGTCTTACGACATCTCATATTTTTCATGCATTTCATGGTCTCAATAGTCGTTTTGATGCTCTTATTCTCGAATATTTTCGAAAATGTAATATTGACTTTCGATCAATATCGAAATGCGATTTCGATATTATCTGTCAACAGCATCTGACAAAAATGGTCGATCGAATAACTTCATTATGCCTGTCAGACGAAGATGATACTCCTGGGCAAATCGATCAATTCTTCGAACATGGTTTCACATTTCATCAATTTATTAATTTACGATCACTTTACTTATATGATATTCGGTCTGAAACAATGATGGATAAAGTTATACTTGATTTACCACATTTGTCGAGTCTGACCCATCTTATCTTCGGACAATGTTATTTTCCATTGAGATCAAATTATGAAAAAGCTGTCTCTTTTGCAAATTGTATTTGGAGTTTACCTAAACTTAGCTACTGTTGTATTAAAGTAGACTATAAATATCGACAAACTCATCATTTTACGGACAGATGCCGTCGTGATAATGGTATTTTTATTGCTCCAACAGTGACTTCATCAACACTTGAATATTTGTCGCTTATAGGTATGAAACAATGTGACATTATAATGGATCAGTTATTCACACATACACCATATCTTCGACGTATTTTAGCTGATAATTGTTTGAATATAAATATGAATTCATTGTCGAATTTATTATCAATGACTACTTTAAATATATCACTATTAAGTTTTCAATATTGGGATAGTTTCTTTAATTTTTTACGAAAGATGCCTAACCTACGTCATTTAAAAATAGAATTCTGTTCAGTTTATTCGTATGTGAATGGGCAAAGATGGGAACAAATAATTCTTAATTATTTACCAAAACTTGAGCGACTGCAATTTAAAATGTTAGTTTCCTTAAATAACGATCTGGAAGAAGAAGAAGAAGAAGAAGAACAAATTGACAGAATACTTGATAAATTTCGAAGTCAATTTTGGCTAGTGGAACATCATTGGTTTGTTCAATGTGATTGGAACTTACATAGAGAATGTGCTATTCTCTATACTTTACCATATGCGTTTGATAGTTTTCGTTTTTATTCGCCTATACAGTCAAAATCAACCTCACCATATGATAATGACTTACGATCATATGATAATGTGCATAGTTTGATATATAAACCTCGTTTATTCAATATGTCATCTTCATCTCATATTCAATTTTTTAACATTCAACATCTTTCAATTGAATTTCCAATCAATGCTCATTTTTTGTCTATTATTCCACGATTCGATCATTTGATTTCACTTGATGCACTATCAAATAATTATGATGAACACTGTCAACATCAACTACAAGATTTACTTGATAGAGCTCCTCGTCTATCTTCAATACGTCTTGGTTGGAAAACTTTGACAAGTTCTCTAGTTCAACTTTTTGCAAGTCGAAATTGGTCAGTATATCAACTTGAATTATTATGCTATGGTCGATCTTTAAATAGACAACAATGCATTATGATAAGTAATATAATACCTAGTATTCATTGTAAAGTACTGAATCTTATGATTGCTAATCGAACATGTATACTTGAGTTTATTAATACAATGAATCATCTTCGTGCATTGAATATTCGATGTCAAAATGATGAATCTAGTCGATCAGCACAATCGACACAAGATGAACTCTGTACATGGTTGCAACAACAGATTTCATCCACATTTTCCACTACGAAAATAACTCGACGAGATACTATTGTTCGAATGTGGATTCATTAATAATATAGAAATATATAAAATGAAAAATCCTAATTTTATTAAGGACAAGATGTTTTTTTGTGAATCATTCATCTATCAGGCTAAGCAGATCGTTAACATTCTCATTGTCGAGATGTAAATAAAAAGTAACTAGAAGAATGAAGTTTCGTTTTTTTAAGCTAGTTAAATGTATTATTAACTATTTGGAAAAATATAATGATGTTGGACGTTGTAATATCATTACGAACTATTTGCCAATATTGAAGTAGAATAATTAATGGTAGTACATCAACATTAACAGTAATGCATTGAAATTTGACACTTACCATGATTTGTTCACAAACAGAATGTATGTACTTTTGTCGCATGCTTTTTACTATACAAAATATTAAATGTATCATTTAGCAGTCGTTTGATATGTATGGTTCACTGTGATTGACTGTTGTTTCGATTATTTGTATTACTAGTTTTTCATGTGAGATCGTAAAATGGAAAATAATGTAAATGTAATCTATGACACATTCAAAAGTATACGTCATCAAAGATAATATATGCGTGAATCTATATCATTTCATGATTATGTCAATGTTCATGACTGACTAGATAGATGCATACAAGAAGCTTGATGAGACCTATACTTCTTGGTTAGATTCAAAATAATTGCACCAGAATCTAATCAAGATCTTTCAGATCAGAAATCTCCACCATAAAGCATGGATTCAAAACATACTCGATGGTGTATTCAATAAAAACATACAATAATATCTTTCTATCCATGAATATAGATCTTGCTATGATATCCACTCCATTTATATCATCAAATAGTGAGAGCAACTATGTAGAAAGAAAGATGAGGTTCATTTTTCGATGTGGACCATTTTTTAAATCAGCGAAATCAAATAGAATATTGAGCTTGTACAAGAAGTCAAATAAAAATTAGTGAGTGCTAATCATTTACAATGAATCCATGACGTTCGAAACTGTATAGAAAGGTTGGAGAACACGAAAATTTACCACACAGCACTGACAGATGATCTCATTTCATACATTTATAGTTTGTATCAGTCCAATATGCTTGTGTTCTATTGAAAGATTCTGCATTCATCTGCAAACAATCTCATTGGAATGATTCTCGAAACAATGAATATGAAAATAGAACTGTAGTCATAGAGCTTGAAAAAGGCATTTCATTGAATTATTCATTAATTACAAACTATTAAATAAGTTTAAAAGTTCTCTTTCGCTATCATTGTATTGAAAAAATATGAAGCATACATGAACTGTAGAAAAAATAGCAAACGATGCTTTAAAAATGGCCACTACAAACGTTAAGCACATAACTGATGTTTACTTCATCCATACATTGTGCTCTTAGAAACAATTTGGCACTTGAAACATCGTCAAGTATAAACTTTTGATTATTAACAAGTGCATAGATGGTTGATGACTCTGACAATACATATGTAGCTTTTGTAGAAACATTCCATTTCATTTCTAAATTAATTATTTTGGACAACAAGGCTTTTGTTCTAATTGTTTCCCAACAAATACAGCAACATTGTTCTTGAATGGTATAAAAGAGCGAAGTGGTCTTTTGTCGTCGAACACAAACATTTCGACAACATTGTTCTTCTTACTACTGTATTGGACCTAATTAGAACAATTAATGTTTGTGGATGAATCGAACATTGTAATCACACTCACGAATTCCGTACCAACTAATAAAGTCAGCTCCTTTTCTCGTTGCATAGAGTAATATTGCTTGGAAATTCCATTCACTTTTAAATAAATCGTAGTCTATTAGAATTCGATTTGTTCATATCTTCGCTTGGATTTTTTTAAATTTCTATATGCACAGGTGAACAGTTGAAAACATGAATAAAAATTAAATATTTTTACATTGGTTGAAAATCTGATTTTCAGCTCATTTTATAAAGAATTCATACATCGAGCTCATTATCTTTTTAACTTAGTGATAGTATCTATATTATAAGATTTTCAAAAAAAACAATCGGACTATTATGAACAAGTTTATTGAGATCGATTAGAATCAAGGATAGTATGAATCTGCACAGTACTTGACAAACAGGAGAATAGATAAACGTTACTTCTTTTCTTCATTAGATTGTCTAATTTAAAAAAGTGCTTGCGAAAACAAAGAACAATGCTGCAAAAATCAAGATGACTCGGTTTATTTAAAACTTATACCAGTTCAAAAGTACTATTAACTGTTTAGAAACACTAGAGTGTTTCGTCTATGGGTATGCTATTATATTAATTTTCTTATTTTGCATTATATGTAACATTCGAATATGCTTACACGAAGAAACAGAAAGAAATAGGCAAGTGTTGATAGATAATATTTATCACTCATAGATAAGACCCCATTTGAAAATGAGTGCACATTAGTGGTAAAGATGATTTCTAAGTGTGAGCAAGATATAAAAGAGTTGATAAAGAGACAGACAAATAATATTAATATATGAGAAAATCTCGGTTTTTATTTTTGTAATCAAATCTATATATCGTACATTTTTAAAAATTGAGACAACTAAGAAAATGCTAATAGATATATATTTTTTGTGAAATACATGTGCTGGATTTCGATACTAACAAGACTTTGTGATTACACATACAAGCTATATGTGTCTTTTTTTGTTTGTAGACATTTTGATAAAATCATGTTTTTTTTCTCGCGAGGTAAGAAAATGAAGAAAAGTATGAAGATATCCTTTTAAGTAACTTTGCACGTTGTCATTTTTCTTTTCTCGATCATCATGAGTATATCATTTGAAAGAGTATGCGTTAGTGTGAGTTAGTCTAATTTACAAGGTTTTAGTTTATTCTTTTTGTAGCTCATATAAACTCTTGTTTTCAATAAGATCTTTATAAAATAAAAACATTGGCGTGTATTTAAGCTGCCATGTTTTCTTGTTTTGTTACTTCAACATTTATCTACAATCGTATTTTAGAAAAAAAAGAAGAATAGATTTTTCTATTCGACAAGTTATAAATATTACACAAGAATAACACGATAGTCATCTTCTCTTTATAAATAAGCAAATATCACTCTATTTTAATTGCTTACTGATTTTTGTTTCCTATTTCATTAGAATGAAAACATTTATCATCATCTTTATTTCTTTACTTGGTATCTTCGTCCAAATCGATTCTGTTATTTCAAAAGCGAAATCAACAGATGTCATATTACAAAACCAGTTAACAGATTATGATGTTAAAAAGAAAATTATAATAACACCGGTAAGTTCATGTTTTAATCTACATTCTCTTTCTACATCGTATATATTTAGGATGCACCAAAACCTATCGGACCATACAATCAAGCTGTTCAAATCAATTATATGCTTTATTTAAGTGGTCAAATTGGAATTAATGCTACAACAGGTCAATTAGTATCTGATGATGTTCGAAATCAAACTCAACAAGTATTTCATAATATACAAGCTGTCTTAAATGCAGCTGGTTCGAGTTTAAAGCAAATAGCACGATGTATTGTTCTATTAATTGATATGAATGATTTTCAAGCAGTGAATGCAATTTATGCATCATTCTTTTCTTCAATGGAAGATTATCCAGCTCGTTCGACTTTTGCTGTCAAAACATTACCAGCTAATGCCAAAGTGGAAATCGAATGTACTGCGTATACAACGCATGAATAACTACTTATTAAACAAAAAAAAAACATTTTTGATTTCATTCAATAAATATAGAACGAATATGTCAAAGATATTCAATTAAATTTGAATATTTTCGTTTAACATATTAAGAAAAGTTTAAACGACGAATTCTAGGAGACTAAGATCTCCATCATCTGAAATCGAATTATGTTGAATTTGGAAACTCTAGTCATGTTACAGAATGTAATAAAAGTTTTATAATTATTACAATACAAATACTAAACTGTTTTCATAGCAATATACTCAATTTCTTCATTAGATGTTTTCTTATAATCATTCTTAGCGATAATCACAGTAACACTTAACATATCCTGCAAAATTTTCTTTTTTTCGTATTTTGATACAAAAATTCTATTTAAGACGTGAAATTTCATCAAAGATATAGAAATTGCATGAGAAAATAGTTTACTAAAAGGTAAGAAGTTGACACACGTTGTACAACGTACTTCTTACTTTTTGTTACAATTTTATGCAGAGCGTTCAATAGAACCGAATTTCAAATTTTCGAGCAGGACTCAACATATAATTGCAATAAAAGCTCAAAAAAAAGCAACACACAAACTTTATTGATCTGACTTAATTTTATCGCTAGATAGATTCAAATAAAGGTAGAATCTGTTTTTTGTACAAGCTAGTAATGAATATTGATTGAATTTACCCTTTCTATGTACGAAAATTGAATAACTAATGCATATATCGATTCACAAATTCATCATTAGTTTCTTAGCGTTCAGATAGAGCAGACTAAAATATTACATCATTTAATGAAGCAAATACTAGCTGATTAGTGACAAAGTTCCAGATATGTACATGAGTCAAACAAGATCGTATATTTGTATTTGTGGCTGGCTAATGCTGGTTATTGGACTTTATTTCTTCCTAGTTAGTCCATTCCTTGATCGTTAAATTTCACTTCGAATCACTCACAATCAACAATAATACTTTCGTTATATATCAAATAATAATAGAACTTGAATGTAGTTTAAATAGATATTCAATACGATTAGATCATATATCCCCCTGGACAAAAGTAGTGTCACTCGATATTTTCAACATATCATCATTATAAATCAACATTTTGAGAAAAGTAATTATATATTCGGATAGTCCGTGGAATTCTCTACAACTCTATATATGTACATTTTGAATTGTATTTGTTCAGTAAAAATAAATTGAAGCACAGTAAAGGTACCCTCATCATCAGATTCTCCGGAAATGCATTTTTTACTCCTTCTTCATTTATATTTTTAAGTTTATTTTGAATATAGGAACAAGTTATTAAAAAAGTAAGTATATATTCAGAAAGCATGTGAAATTCTCTAC